CTATCGCATCCAGTAATGAGCACGTAGGCTAATCGCAATCGCCATCAGCTACGTGTAAGCCTCCAGAGACTAGCAGATACCACGACATTGCAGTTACAATGTGCAATCAATACTGTATCACTGTATGTACAATGTACACCAGGAATATGTTCCCATTATACTTGGATAGCTGTCCATTCAACTTATCTGATACCTAGTATCTTCAACAGTGCATGAGCTGAGAACGCTTTATAATACTTAAAATGTTTCGAGAAAAAAATTACACTACACTAAACTATCGATTTTAAATGCTTAGTTACGTTTCATAAGTGTCATTTAGACACATAAAGATATAAGGGGGACAGAATTCTGGGTCGATGTTGAAACGGGTAGAGGATTAATCATAGTAATCCGGTGTACGTATGTTATCTTAGTGCTACATTTCAGCATTTTTTTAAATGGTGTTTTTCTGGAGAAATTGTTTAAAAAGCTGCTTAAAAAATACAGAAACGGGGCACATGTGTCTATTAAACTAGTTAGCTTTAAGGAAGGTTAACAAAATATTGAATGTCAGTTATACCATCACGCAATAGATCTACGAGGATGCGAACTCTTGATTAATACAAAAGAATCTTTGAAAAACTGTTAGACTAACACCATTTTCTAAATGCTTAGTTTTCAACAAGACATGAGTCCAGTTTCGAACCATAAAAAAGAGTATGAATTTTCTTAGGATCGAGCCAGTGACCTTTTGATTACTGTACTATGATCACTATAACCACTCAGATCAGTGAGACTTTCCAGACTAAAAGTGAGCCGACAGTAAAAACTCACTTAAGACTGGCAAGCTAATTTGATTATGATCAGTTTCAGAGGAATGTATGCACATTTATCCACGCTAACTATTGAAGCTAAGAAAGAGGAAGGAACAAACTCCGACTGCCGGAAGAACCCGAAAGAATGTATTTTTTTAGCATAGAGAATGATTTTGAAGGTTTGAGAGTTTTGTGATTTTACAAATTTCTTACTGTGACTGTGAAAACTATTTTTAAGTATGTAGTCGTTGCAGACTGTGGTGTATCATAGCAAGCTTTACTGACTATTTTTATTTTTATTTTTTATTATTAACTGGATTTCTGAATTAAACTCTTGGAGGACTGACCAGCCTAGAAAACCCGTCATCGTCAAGTCTCAAACCTCATGTTCCGGACGAACCAGAACTTCTGAACTGGACAGAGACACACAAAATCGACTACCACCATCAAAATCAATCACAAAATCATCTAAATTCCTCTCCGTCAATAAAAAAACCCAACATTGCCCAGCCAATACGATCTTCATAGACAACATCATAATCATCATAACGTCATAATCATCACAACTTATGACAAAAGTATCCAGGACTTCCGACCGGGACAGAGACCTACAACCTCAACTATGACTCTTAATAATCTAAACTTCCCTCCGTGAATAGCAAACCCAAACAACATTGCCCAGCCAGTAAGACCATCATTGCTATGATCACAGCTCATGTTTCGGACGAAGATAACCAGAACTTCCGACCTGGACAGAGACCTACAACCTCTAAATAAACTAAATTTTCCTCCGTCAATGGCAAACCCAAAGAACATTGTCCAGCCAGTAAGACCATCATTGTAGAGCTATCATACTTCATGTTTCGGACGAAGGTAACCAGATCTTCCGAACTGGACGGAGACCTACAACCTCTAAATAAACTAAATTTTCCTCCATCAATGGCAAACCCAAACAACAATGTCCAGCCAGTAAGACCATCATCGTAGAGCTATCATACTTCATGTTTCGGACGAAGGTAACCAGAACCTCCGAACTGGACCGAGACCAGCAACCTCTACTGCACCCAATTACCGGCCAGTGGTACCTGGACACACCCTGATTCCCTCACACGCACCCAGCATTACCATCACAATTACCATTACCACCGCCGCCGCTGTTTAAATCCCGAGTATTAATTGCGAGAATCACGTGGTAACGGGTCAACAAACTGTGATTTGCGAATATAATTTCGTGAACTTCGAGGGACTCGGTTATATGAGATACTTTTCAACACCGGTCAGACATAGAAAATCTATTACGTTAATTCAAAACAAAGGATTCATGAGCATAGCCAATGGAGTATTGGATGTTTTCCGTTATTGTCGAGACCATTATCCAAAATTAAATTTCTCTATCTGAATTAATTTGAATTATTTATTTAACAAACTGTCGTCGATCTAAACATTAAAGTAAGACTCCCTAGTTGCTTAAAAACATGTGATATTCTACAACATTGCGCGGCTATTAATAAAGAACCAATGACATTGGATTCTACTGTTTCCGTCTCCTGAAGACTTCTCATCAATGAACCAGTTAAAGCCAATATTGCAATAAAGTATAATTCACAGAATCTACTGTAAAAATAAAATCTTCTCTCTAAAGTTACGATTATCATAAAACGTAATTGATAAATCATAACATATGCTACAGTAAAGAAGTCCTTTTTGACCTGTTAAAAGTAGGCGTTAACGATAGAAATCCGACTTAATTATGAGAATACGATTTCTACCACTCAGTTGAATGATAATACACCAGATCAAAAACACTTGTGGATATGAAATGCATCCAGCATAAGTAAGCAATTCTGAAGACAATCTGTATGAATATTAAAAGCAATAATGATAACGTGTCCACATTAATAAATGTCCAAAACCCGTGTGCTTCGGCACAACTGGCCTACTTTCGATCTAATATATCTACGGTAAACGCCAAGTCGCTCTTCTTTCACGAGAGAGTGTCCTTTATCACTTTCTCTGTCAATTCTCCGAACTAAGCGCAAGTTTTCCCAAACTTCTCTCAATAGCTGTCTGGACTCACGCAGAGCTTCTAATTTGGAATTTCGTCCAATCAGATTCTCATGCATATTCTATTTCGGTTAAATGACATCAGAATTAATTTGCATTGGCCTCCTTAAATATGATAGGATTGGTAAACAAACACTAGTGTCAAGCACTTATTAAGCGTAAAACTAAACGAAAAATGTTAAGTATCGTAGATTAGTTTATCCAAAATAGAACGCTTCAAAACAAAAACGCATTTGCATATGTAAATTTTTACGTACGCTTTTGAGTTGAAACCGATTACAAAGCCTTGAGTTTCCCCTAGCCTCCAATGTTGATTCTTAAGACTAAATCTAGGATTTTATATTTTGATTTTGGGTGCTCTAAAACAGTATTTCAAACCACTAGGAAAAGGAATCAGCCACTTTCACTGTAATTAACTTATCTTCCCGTCCCTGACTTCCTATAGTCACATTCAAGAGTACATCCATTTTCCCCAGAGGATATTCAGCAGATCCTCACAAAGTCAAGGGTCGCCGCACTCCTAGGGGAAGCGTTCAATTAGGATGCCGAAGATGCACAAAGAGCCGAATTGCGGAAGCAGTAGTAGTCAGATTCATGAAATGGACAGCGGATGGAGAAAAACGGCGCGGAACGACGAGACATAACGTAACGGGGAGCTGAGTGGAGCCAAGACGTTTCTATAGCGGTCAATATTTTGGCGGGTAACGCGGACATAAACTGTGACAAAATCCGAAAATTACTTAACCAAATATAGTCTGTAAACTCAGAGGAGAACTTCAAGATTTATCAAGAGAGGTTAATGCAGCAGAAATTAAAATTTTAAGGAAAATTCTATGGGTTCAGTTGGAGTTAAGTTAAATTACCGCCACGTAACAGATGATTTTTATATTGTTTTGACAATAAGGCGCTTTAGGTGTTGCTGGTTTTAAGCTTGCGCACTTGCAAAATTTGCGTTTAAACTGTTACGGATTATCAATTAAAAATTTTTCCGTGATGGGGACGCCACCTAGGTGAGTATTTCAACCCAAATATGAGTGAGAATTAATAGTTCACCTGCTATACAACTTAGTGGTTTCAAAGAGATTATACAAACTTATATTGTCATCAAAGAACGCGCTATTGAAGTATAGTATGGATTATAGACACTAGTATCAATGTCGGGAAGAATATTTCCCTACCACCTATCAATCACTTGCAATCAAGACCAAATTTTTAAATGATTTCTAACTGAGTGGAAAAACAAATAGACCTGTAGGAGACCAACGCTAAGTATATAAACCGACTAACAACCGCAGGATAATGGCAAAGACTGAGCGTGGTCTAGACTGAGATGTGTATGATTACGGTAGAAATAGCTGAGGCTCAAGTGGCGAGCCTTGAGGCACTCCAACACGGACGTTGTTCAGCGACTAAAGTTTGTTTGTATAACAGTTCACCACTCCTACTTGTTGCGAGATTACATCCTCAATTGAATCTTCTAGTGAGTCTAAGATACCATGTGACGACGTATAATATTTATCGTCACTAATAAGGCAAATGCATAAACTGGGCAAAAAATTAACTGTGGGCTATGAGTGGAAGTATAATCAGGAGCAGTTTCTACTTCCATACAATATTCAATGTCACCGCTACAGTCATGAAATAATGTAACGCACAAAGAAGATTAGAAGTTACGCGGTCCCAAGTAATTATTTAGTTTAGTTTGGACAGGCATTACAAATTGAAATTTGTTTGTTAAAATATTCCTACTGCTATAAATAACCTTGGTAAGTTTAGCAAACATATGTTCGGCCGTTATTGCGTGATGAGATTACATAGTTTTTTTAAGGCCCGATCTCAATGAGTTCCGCTCAATTAATTATTACTATACGACCACTACTAGAAGCTGCAAGAAAGTACTATAAGTCAGGCAGCATAACAATTATAGACCACTTAATTAGTAATAAAACTCTGGATTTAGTTGGTCATCTGACTTTGTTTAGGCGAGTGTTTATCAAATTATGCCGACTTTATTGAAGGGTTAGTTACAAGAACGATATTTGCAACTGCCTCAACGAGGTGATAACGAAATGATCTTCCCTTTTGGACTATCAACTGTGTATTGACATCTAATTTACTGTACATTAAACGAAGTCCACCTACCTTTCTTCCTGCAGCCTGTTGTCTACATGCTTCACATCTTCTCTGCTAAGACTGCCGTCGTTGAACCTCTGCTTGTATTTCTGGTACTCCTTGAGAAGGTCGCCGTCGAAACTATCACCCGCGATAAGCGTGGTACATGTCGAGATCGGTTTATCACTGAGAGAGTCCCTACGCGAAGATCGAGCCGTCGTGGAGGTGGACGCGGATGACCGGTGTTCGGGGGTCGACGCGTTCGAGGGTACTCCGCCTTGGGCTCTCTTGTCCGCAGGAGATCCTGAGCGATCTCTTCTCGACCTGGTGGTGCCCGTGGCCGCGACGGGCGTGCTGTGCTGCTCGGAAATAGAAGGTAGTTGAAACTCCGTGTAACTACTACTGAGAAACACCTCACCGTCGTTGTCGAACAAACGATCAACCGACGTGTTCATCAGTTTGTTGTTCTTGTGACCAGTCAGGTGAAAACTTGCGAAGGAAGACCTCGACATGGGAGAGTCTTGAAGGATGTCACCGGTAGAGAGAGCCATCAACGCAGCCTTGTTCATCCGGTTGACTGAGGGGCTGCCTTCCAGAGTAGGGAGTAAAGACCGAGACATGATGTCCGCCGCAGACCTGGGCCTTGTGAATGGCATCGCAGAGTGTGGGAAGGTCTTGGGTTTGATCGGAGTAACCAGCATGTGTTCCGTCCACGACGTCTCCAACGAGGGCCGCTCCAACCTCTCCACGTCTACGTTCAGCGTTCGTTGTTCGAAAGGTACAGAAAATGTGTCATGGGGAATGCTCTGTAGCCAAGATAACAAGCTGAGATCAGAATCACTGAATCCAACCGAGCCGTCTAACAGTCTAGAGAAGTTCATTTCGTGATTTTGTGATTCTTTCGAACCGGTGGCTTTGGCTTGACAGTAGGAAACGCACGATTCGTAGAGGATTCCTTTGATGACGAGTTGGACTAGACGGTCGTTTTTGGCGGTCGTGCACAATGAGGAGCCGCGTTCGGACTTTTTCTCGCCGGGGAGGAACTTTTCGACTAGAGGGAACACGTCGCGGAAACACTTGACTCTCGCGTTGCTGGGGTTCCAGTCCTTGTAGTGTAGGTGGTCCGTGAGTCTGGGGAGGGTCAGCAGAAGACAGAGGTTCGAGTAGTCTTCCTTGGTGGGAGCGACCCTCTCCAGCTCGTTGAGGACTTTGACCACCTCCTCGACCGCACTGTCCACCGTGTTGCCGCTACAACTCGCTTCAGTCTTGATACACAGCAGTTCCACGTACTTGTGTCGCAGCACGAGGAAACGAAACCTGAAAACAACGTTTAAAACCTCTTAGAATTTGTCAAATATAAACTCGCAGTTAAAATATACTCTGCTGTAAAACACAAAACTACATTTGATACCTACGAAAATACATATCTCCAATCAATTCAACTACTTTATACCTCTTCTACTACTCGACACTTTTAAGTATTGAAATATACTAGCACTAAAAACTAGAAACTAGAAACTAAAACTTTGATTAAACCTTGAAGAACCCCTACAATCCTTTACAAGATTAAAACCCTGATACAACCCAATATTTTGAAATTATCTTTTAGTTCCCTAAAATCGCCTTACTACTCGAGATTCAATCAAACTATACAACTATTGTGAGGACCAACAAAGCCATCATTATTTAGTTTGGAATTGTGTACTCTTTGGACTTTTCGTTTGGTCTTGTACATGTTTGTGAATCAAATCAAATCAAATCAAATCGTTTATTAAGCCAGAATTAACAAAATATTGTACAATTTGTATTGGCTAAGTCATCATTACAACTATTTACAGAGGTCTTATGCAGTACTAAAAGCTATACAGTTCTATATACATATATAGAGTTTAGTTGAAAGGGCTGGATGCTGTTTTGTTAGTATTAAGTGACTTGGCTAAATGTTTACCACTAAAAATCCTCAATATTGAAATAATCTGCTGCAAATACCTTTTCATGTCAAAGGCAGGAATGGCTTCCAGCGGCTGTATGAACTCCAGCACATCGTCCCACTGTCCGTCCAACACCAGCTGCCGCAAGAACAACACGTCGTCGGAGAAGGCGCCATTGATAACGCCCGTCTCCCGCTCCAGGGACAGCTGCGAGATGTGGAGGTCCCGGTTGTGCAGGAACTCCAGACACAGCTTCACCACGTCCTCCTCGCGCAGTGTCAGGTGTGCGGACGGCATCACGTACCGCACCCTCAGTCTGCAACAAAGAACAAGGGTTATAAACTAAGAAAATGAGTATTTGTGGTCTTTGGTGTCCACCACGCACCCTAGGTCTACACCAGAAACAAGGTTAGTACCTCCTGAGGAGTTCTTTAGAATCCATGATGGTTTTCGGCGTCAACCGCTTGGTTGGAGATTGCTGTCAAACATTTTCCCTTAAAAAACAGAGAACGCCTCCTCAGTGTTAGGCTGAGGCATTATAAGAGTTCTGTGTCTCCAACAAAACATAGTACTACAAAATACTGGGTGTCCTCATAAAAAGGTAGGCCTAAAGAGATCTTGGAATATGTTTCATTGGTAAAACGAAAATCAAGAACGATTATTTTTACAAAATCGTTTCGTTAGTAAGATATCCGTCATTTTAAATTTTTGGAGGTGTACGATTTAAAATCGTCATCGAAAAAGGAGTTGAGAACATTTTATCTTAAATTTTTGTTTTATTATGATCTGTTTGACCTATTCCAATTTTTGTTATTAGGAGTCACAATGTATATCAATCAATGAGGTCACACTTCTGGATGACTCAGACGGTAATATACAGTCAGAGGAAAATTTTTATTCGTGATTTTTTTCTATCAATTGCACATTTCAAAAGTTACCTTCAATGAGTCACCGTCACACAAACTCATAGATCAATTAACCGTAAAAACAAACATTTAAAAACTATCAACGGGGAAACCTAATTAAATTTTTATCGTCGCTCCCTTTGACGATCCGAAAAAAAGAGTTGCGAACCCCATCACACCGGGACTGCAGACATCTGAGATGTAATGGTGTAATCAGAATTTGTCTGGGATTGGTTCAAACAGGCTCCGTTCGCCATCACGGCAGATCCACAGCCCCAAGCGAGCAGTGCTGTTATAATGCTGGCGAACTGGGTTAAGTGCACCGAGTTATGGAGATATTTTTACTGTTTAACTCAACTAATTAAATGCCCGGCTTACATGTGTTTCGGTTAATGAGCTATCAGTGAAGTTGATGGGTGATGAATAAAAATTAACTTGTGTAATAAGGGTTATGGTCAATGGTCAATTAAGAGGCTTGGAATGTTTGGAACGAAAAAAGTCTTTAGCTGAGGTGATTTCTGGGTGGATTTAATTTAACTTTGCTTGCATAAACTTAGCTGAAATTAAATACTGTATGAGGGAAATAAACCGTCTATTCGATAGATAACTTAAAACAGTTTCACTACTTCACGTAAAAAAGTAATTTTATAGTTTTACCATATCAGTTTGTGGAAAATAATACAAAACAAATAAAGTTACGTTCGCAAATATATTTAATTGAAATGCAATCAACTTAAAACAAAACTTAATTAGGTTATGAACCTGGTTTTGGACGAATACCAACAAAAAGTGCTTATTGTGTAATAATAATTTATTAAGTAGGTACCATAGTAAAGCTACAAACCATCTCTACCACTGTCACGATTTTCAGATGAAAAATAAATTGACAAAAAAGCACTAAAATTACAGTAACATTAGTAAATAGATAAAAACTCGAGTGTATATAGATCAAACAATATAATCACGTTACACAAATACGGATTGATTGAATCTAATTTGGCCTTTTGAAACTTGATTACCATAGTTGGTTTGCAAAGCATTCATTTGATCAAAAGTAGTTTTTACATGATTCAACAATCAAATACGACGTAACCTGCAACTCTTAATTGAATACAAACGTTACATGCAATAAGCCTCAAAATTATGTCGTTTTTACGGCACAATTCAATTAAATCTAGACCCCAAATTTAAAGTTAAAATTTACCACCGACCCCAAAATGTTATGTACAGGTTTAAATAATAGTAGGCGAAAAAATCCATTTAAAGTTTCGGGTCTGGAGGGAGGGTCGTTGTACAAATCACAATTTAAGAAGATTGAAGATTTATAAAATAGGTGAAAGGGTGCAAATTAAAACTATCGCATTTACTAGCAACGCCTGCTTTTAAGTTGTAGTATACAGTACTACTAATATTCGGTTGTAATCATATTAAAACATCTCCATTGATCATTAAACATAATATAACACACTATTTTCAAATATATCTAAGTTCATTGTATCCAACAATGCCAGCAGTAGGTCTAATTGCCCGGTACCATATAGGGCGGAGTGGGACCGGAGGTAATTAGTAATTACAATGAGTAATTACAATTAGTTTTTTTTTATGGGTAATGAGTAATTACAATTAGTTTTTTTTTAATGGGTAATGAGTATTTACAATTAGTTTTTTTTTTGTTAATGAGTATTTACAATTAGTTGTTTTGTTAATGAGTATTTACAATTAGTTTTTTTTAAGGTAATGAGTAATTGCAGTGTTTTTAGGTAATTAATATCTATTCTGCCTCACACATGCCTCCGCCACCGCCTCAACCTCCGCCTCTGCCTCCGCCTCCGCCTCCGCCTCCGCCTCCACCTCCGCCTCCACCTCCGCCTCCACCTCCGAGGTGGTAATGATTAATTACAATTTGTTTTTTTTTCGACAATGTGTAATTACCAATTAATACACATGGCGTAAGTGGCGGAGGGTACCCCTCACCACCAGTGTTGTGAACTTCTCACAAAGATAAAAGGGGATGCTTCCACAATCCCTCCCTTCGCCAACCTCGCCACATGTTTTAACATAATTTATGATGTCTAGACACGTGGAGTAGTGCGTAGGAATCAACAGAGAGGGTTCATCGCAGACACTATTACATCACTGTCTTAGCTAAGCTGAGATAGTATGGAATAGTTATAATTATTGGTTTGTTTGTTTGTTTTTTTTTGTTTTTTATATTATTTATTTACAAAAATCTAAACTTATATAGTATACAAATAATCTTAAAACTAAGGAATTAGGTTTCATTTAATACAATTTCCGCTTCAGCCCGTTGTTGCAGCAGACATTCCACTGTGACCAGCTTTGCCATTAATTTATTTAGATGTGCCCATTCCTCGGGGCACCTCGGTTGAGCACACCATTTACAATTCAACTCCCACGAATCATCATCATGCTGGTTCTTGAGCTCCTCAGTTGTCATCTCTTGAAATTTTTTATTCATATCTTCAGCTTCCAACGCATTGGCGATATGAATTAGCTCCTGCTCACTAATACCTCGAAGCTGATTCTCGAGGTATTCTGCCTCAATTGTATTGGCAATATCAATTAACTCCTGGTCGGTAAATAATGGTTCCTGGTCCGACATGTTGATCGAGCAGTGGTGATACTTTCTTGGCTAAAGGATGAATGAATAGTGAGATACGTTTGGATCAGCTCCAACCGAGACGTCCCAACGCTACCTATTGAGCAACTCTTGAACTAACAGTGAGGATTTAGTCAACCACTACAGACCACATATGTTGATATGACGAAGACAGTGGAGATACAACGTCGGAGGGACCACCAGCGCAGGTGTTGACTGTAACCACCTGTTAAGATAATATTTCATGTATGAGGGGAGTAACCCCGTCTGACACTCCCTAAGCATTGTTTGATGCGCATCATATCATACACATCTCTAATAATCAGCAATAAATATGTTTACGCATAATTTGCAAATACCAATTATTGTATTGTAAATGCGTGGTTGACAATTAATAATTTTTCAGTTAAAACATAATACAATGAGTATGCGTTACACGTATTTAGTGTTTATAAGTAACGAATAAGTACTATATGTAAGAAGGCTTATGAATAATTTATAAGGTTATTACTGCACCGGTATATTTAACTTGATTCAAATCATTGGGTTTATTTTTTAAACTCAATTATTTAAATCATACTCACAATGCCAATGTACATAATTTTCTATATACACATCACTTCTAACTATGTAATGATTCAAGTTATTTTTGTTTTCAATTTAATTTGTTCTGTAATAATTAATTATCGATTAGTACAAATGGCGTAAGTCCCCGTCCTTATTTTTTTTTTTTAAGTATTATCATGTATTAAAACGTGACAGGGTTTTTTTTATTTCACGATTCTAAATCAACCACTTTACGGATTTTCATCATTTTTTGTGTTGAAAGAAAGATCATTTTTTTTTACTAGAAAATGTTGAAACCATAATTTTAGTTTAGGGGTTCAGTTTGTTTTGTACATCAAGTTTTAATTTTCAAAAAGTCTAGCAGCCGACGCTAACATTCTAGACAATCTTTTGGTATAATACAATTTGTTTAACTTAACAGTTGTAAACATTCAGCGTTTTCGACACAAATTCAGTATTTGATTGAAAATGAACGGACATACGTAGAATTAACTTATTTATACTATGTGTAATGCTATAATCATCGATACGTTCATTTATTCGGTAAGATGATGAGAGTTTATTTAAATATACATAGTAAAATACTAGATGTTCTAACTTTTTTTAGCAGTCTTTAAAATATTTAGCTTGTTTTAGTGCAATATAATTTGTTATAACTAACAGCTGGTTGATTACAAAAATATTCAATAGAACTATGTGTGATTTTGTATTAATTATAGGAAACTAGCAGAGTACCCGTCCTTCGTACGGGGTTGGCATATAAGTATAAAATGCTTATTGCAGTTAAACTCAAGCTTTGCGTTTGCAATGAGGGAGGACACAGTTTGACAAAATTTGATTCTTTAAATTTACAGTATTCTATAGTATTACACATCTACCATAGCCATAATGTTCTACCACTTCACCTAAACAATAGAGAAAAATAAATATTAAAAAATTCGCAAGATATCACAAATTATTCATTAAATTAAAAACATAAACATAACTTCCTACTTTGACAGTTAGTTTTCATTGTGTATTACAGTTTTTTTTTTTTTTTTTTTTTGCTGCTTAGTTCAAATTAGCTGTTTTTATAAATGCAAAAAATATATAGTGCTGCACTCTGTTTGTAAATCTTATAAACTTTTAATGCTTTTGCATATCATAGAATCAACTTTTTAGTTGAAACAGCTGACTAAATTCTTTAATTTCCTTTAAATATGAATACTCATAAGGATAATAACA